AGTCTCTACAAAACACATCGATTGCGCGTCTCTCACTCGCCCTCAGTCTCTACAATACACATCGATTCCGCGTCTGGCCACATAGTCTCTACAATACACATCGATTCTGCGTCTCTGACGGCCACATAGTCTCTACAATACACGTCGATTCCGCGTCTCTGACGGCCACATAGTCTCTACAATACACATCGATTCGCGTCTCTGACGGCCACATAGTCTCTACAATACACATCGATTGCGCGTCTCTTACGGCCACATAGTCTCTACTCCCCTGCCGCTGCAAACGCCAGCAAAACGCTGGTGAAACGCTGGAGAAACGCTGGCGTACGCTAGCGTTACGCTGGTGACGCTGGGAACGCTAGATCGATATCCATCCTCTCCCCGGCACTGCCGCTGGCGTACGCTGGAAGCGCTACGCTACGCTGCCGCAAAGTATAAACGCAGCCTTATCAATTCTTCAACTCTCTCTTGGCACAAGTAGAGCCTTATTTGAGGCGTTGTCGACGGTTTTCTCTTCTTTACTTCATCAGAAGAGGATAGCACGTAGACTTCTAGTTTCCAACCCCGCCATCTACTAACTGGTCGCTGGTCAACGTACATCGTTGTGCGAATCCCACCAAGAGGGGGGGGGGCATATCTGGCATTGAAAGATTTTTGATTGTTGATTTTCCTGTCTCGAGCACATTAATACTATTACTTCTGATAGTTGGTCAGAGGTGCCCACCTATAATCCTTTCTTCTCGACTGTAAGACGTTCGGGAGTATGGGCCAGTATGTGGAGGGTCGTACCGGAACCGTTTTTAGGAATCGTATTGACGCTGCTATTCTCCGTAACGCGATGATGTGCGCTGCTCCTCCCGACGAAAATACGACCCCCCCCCCTCAGTTTATTCCTCCGTTCTAGGCGCTCCTCTATAGGGATCATCAACATTATGATGAACGGAGAAATAAACTATCAAAAACAAATTCTCGAGGGCAATTATGGCCTCCCCTCTCCAACGGTCAAATTGCGACCCCCTTATCTCCGCCGAAATTTAAAAGTGCTCTGGCGGGGCTGTACTAGTATGTTCTCTTCAAACGACCCACAAGGCTCCAGCCTCATTTTTTAAATGCCGACCAAATCATAAATAAAAAGCTGAGCGGGGTTCTTCTTCACGTCAGATTTTCTTAGCAGCGTTCTGCAGGGTACAATACAACTTCCCAGATCAAAAGTTATGCATGCATAAACATAATCTTTGCTGTTCTTCACTGCATATTTCGACCACGTAGGTCTCCTAATGGGCGGAATTTAGGTACACGGTAGCGGTCTAATTCTGCGAATGCGTCCAACGCATTCTTTTAAACACGGCTGCGCGGGAGAAATTTCGGCTTTTTCATCGCGGACGCTCGACTTTCTAAGGT